ATTAGCTGAATGTACTATCAATAAAATCCTGGGTTGCAAGTACTCACCTTAATATTTAAAAAAAAAAAAAAATATTTCTAGCCTTTTGAGTTTTCTTATGCAAATACTCTCTCTTGATGCCAGAAAGAAATAGTTCCATTTCATTATAAATCTGTGTTCTTACTATTTGATTGTTAAGTTCATTTTTAAAGCTAATGTCTGTTATCTTTTTTTCGAATTCCTCACTATAACAATACCAACATAAAATTTCTTTCTGACCAGTTTTTTTAGCCTTGTTAAATAAATGAACCAAATGCAATGCAGAACCTGAAGTTGAATCATCTCCATCTAGCATGTTTTCAAGAATTTGTCTATCTGGTATGGGATTCAAAAAGCTTTTCTCGTTAATAAATATAGATAACTCATATATTAAACCTTTTTCATCTTTTTGATTATAGAAAGTTTTTGTTTCAGAAGAAATAGCACTTTGTTCCTAATTGGATAAAGAGATAATAAATAATTTAGATTCAGAAGAAGAAAGTTTTGTATCTTGAATATTTAGATCTTTATTAAGTAATAATTTCTCTGCTTTGGGTATAAAAACATTCTTATTCGGTAATATAGAAATCTTAGGGATAGTATTCTCAGGAGTTGAGATTAACTTTTGATCCTCTTGATCCTGAAGCTTCTTCTCCTTAATGTTCTAAATTATCTCTTTTCTAATCATTTCTCTATGCTTTGAATCCAGAAATTCATTTTTTACCTTCTCTTCTAGGCGACATAAGTCGCTTTGCGAATCAAATGATATGGTTTCTGTGAAAGATGTAGGGGTTACCAAATCCTGGTATATGTCAGAATTAGACTCCTCATTATATAAGATTATCTGTTCAGAAGTATTATTAGAATTTGGTTCAACATCTAATGATTTGATATATGCATCAGGTATTTACTAATTTTTACCTACCTTTTTTATTGGCCGAATGTAAATCAAATTTCTGATTGGACAACAGTAATCACAGGTTTGATAGATTTTTATGCTACTTCAAAGTTTTATCACAAAAATTTAAAGTTTGAATTGATAGTAATAGTAGTCCAACTTTTCAAGAAAAATATAATGGCCATAACTCGAATAATTTGCTTTTATATGTAATAACAAAAAAAAAATAAAATAAATCAAATTATTGATCATTCGAATGTGTATTGTTTTTTTTAAAAAAATTTTTTAAGCCACTTTTAAGACATTCGAACTATATGAAGTCAATTACAAAACTGGCAAACTGTTTTTTTTTATTTTCAGATTTTGAATTTGCTGTATAAATGTCTGGATAAACACTTAACCAACCTACAGGTTTCTTTTAGATATGTATAAACAGAAAAAAATCCATATTTTATATATTAGATAATATATATATATTTTATTAAAATGTTATCAAATTTTTAATTTAGCGACTATTTTGAAGAAATTATTTGTGGACTTGATTAAAAAAAAACTTGGAAATCTAAATTATTCGAACAAGGTTTTAATGTTTAATTATTGGAGATCCATTTGTTAAATAAACAAATATGAGGCATTAATTATTAAAATTAATTGAAATTATTTAATATTTACTTTGCTTTTTAAATTTCAAATTTTTTGACATAACATTAGGAGTTTTCGACTCATTGTTGCTAATAATTTCTGGAACAATGTCAACTCTTGTAATTCTTGCCCTTTCTACTTGGACTGCTTGTTGAAGAGTTGATCGTAGACTATAGATATCCTCACTACTTTTGTCTTTCCATTCTGCAACAATTGCTGCAAGTTCCTCTTGTAATTTCTCAAACTCATATTTTTTTTTATCCTTATGGTTTACAGAATAATAAGAAGAGCTAGAAGAATCAAAAATATTAGTCTCTGCAAATTGTTGAAGTTGGGTGGGTTGATTATTTCCTTTACTATCTTCAGAGAGTTGAAGTCAACTAAGCACTGCAAATATATGCTTGCATGGCAATTAACGTGTTCTGAAATCATAACAAGTGCAGATATATAATGTAAGATTTAAATCGTCTCCACTATCATTTTTTTGAACAAAATATTCGATATCAGTATTAATTATAAAACGAATAATCCAGATATCTGAACTAATGTTGTAGATATTATTTTGACTAATTTTTGCTCCTGCAATCTCTCGAATTCATTGTTGTTTCTGCTGTGAGTTCATCTTTCCAATATTCAAATCATCCAAAAATATAAAAAAATTCATATCCTAGAGTACTATTTTCACAAGAAGGTATATCTCTTCATCAAGGCGTCATTTAGGTCATCCTTTCATATAAACATATTTTAATTTATAATGGAATGCCTCTATTAGGTTGTTTGTATCCATCATGTCTCTGGCCATTTCTCTTAAACACACTATTCAGTTATCATATTTTGGTTTCCACCACTTTTCAAAATAGTTAGCAAATTTTTTTGCAGCTTCGATATTCATTTTTCAGCATTTCTCAATCGTTTCTGTAATTTGCCTTAATGCCTCTTCATTATTCTACCCCTTAGTTTTCATTAATTACCAAAGGTCTTTCCAAATAGTTGTTTTCTATTGATCTTTATTTATACTATGATTATGGCCTAAATTTCTGTGCCAAGAACGCAATACATGAAAATGGCATAATAATATAGTGCTATCCAGGAAGCACTCTTCAACTGCCTTAATTTCTTCACCCCTTCATCGATCATAAAAATATATAGGTTCTATATCTCATTTTTGGGCTTAAGAAATCAAGCCAATTTATTAGTGTAATTGATTTCTTAAACTTACTAATTAAAAATGCGACTGGGTATCCACTTCCAGTCATTGGATGTCGTATGATTAGTATAAAAAGATGATACCCATGTTGATTTAGTCTATGAGTACCATCCAGACACACTACTCTCATGAATTTTATTAGCTTCTTTTGCTTTTCTGTTTGAAAAGCAAACATAAGCTCTTTGCTTTCACTGTTGTCATAAGTGAACATATAACAACTGCCTGTATAATTTAATTTTTCTTGCCACTTAACTAGAGATTTTAGCTCATCATCATCAAGGTAGGCACATGTTTTCATTATATTGTGCACAATAGCAAAGATGTCATCCTTTGTTACTAACCTATCATGTAATGACTGGATATTCAAAGGGTCTCTATTATCAGAAACTTTTTTCATAAGCTGAACACAATCCTGAATTTCTATTCCTCGATGCTGCAAGATAGAGGCCTGCGTTGGGTCCCGCAGCCCGGCCCGGCCCGGCCCGGCCCGCAAATTTTTGCGGGCCGGGCCGGGCCT